AAAAAGGTTTTGAGGAAGATGAAGTTTATGCTATCATTCAATCATGTGCCCCTGATAAAGCCCCAGGTCTAGATGGCTTTACTATGTCATTCTTTCAGAAGTCATGGGATTTCATCAAACCAGAGATTATGGCAACACTAAATTACTTCCACCAACACTGTTACATAGAGAGATCATGCAATGCCTCTTTCATTGCCTTGATACCTAAGAAGAAGGGATCTATTGAGCTTATGGAATACATACCAATAAGCCTTATTGGTAGTGTTTATAAGATTGTGGCCAAGGTGTTAGCAGAGAGATTGAAAAAGGTTATTGGGAAGCTGGTTTCTTCTCATCAAAATGCTTTCATTAAACACAGACATATTACTGATGCAGCTCTCATAGCTAATAAGTGTTGGACTGGAGGCTTAAAATTGACACACATGGTGTTATGTGTAAACTGGATATACAAAAGGCATTTGATCAATTAAACTGGTCTTCCTATCTATTTAGAGGTCGTGATGGTTTCTTTTCACCTCAGAAAGGAATTAGGCAAGGGGATCCTCTTTTTCCCTTCTTATTCATACTGGCCATGGAGGGTTTAAGTAAAATGATGGAAAAAGACAGACAGATGCAATGGATTCAAGGATTCAGTGTAGGCACAAACACTGAAAACTCAGTCACTATCTCCCATTTATTATATGCTCATGACACACTGATCTTCTGTGAGGCAAATATATTCCAAATCCTGTACCTGAATCTTACACTCCAGCTATTTGAAGCATTATCAGGACTTTACATCAACAAGCAGAAAAGTATTATATATCCAGTTAATCATGTGAGCAACATTGAGGAGTTGGCAGGGATCATCGGTTGCAGCATAGGGTCATTGCCTACTACCTATTTGGGTCTTCCATTGGGATCTAAATTCAAAAGCTATGATATCTGGAATGGTGTAGTGGAGAACTTTGAGAAAAGACTGACTTCATGGCAACAACAATACCTTTCTATGGGAGGAAGACTCACTCTCATCAGTAGTGTGCTTGACAATATACCCACTTATTTTATGTCATTGTTTTCCATCCCTAAAAAGGTACTTAAATGGCTGGACAAGATCAAGAGGGACTTTCTATGGGAAGGAAACAACAGCTCTCACAAGTATCACTTGATTAAATGGGATAAGGTCTTGCAACCTAAATGCAAAGGTGGACTGGGGGTCAGATATCTAGACAAGCACAATAAAGGTTTGCTAATGAAATGGCTATGGAGAAATGGCACATGTAAACCAAGTCTATGGAAAGAGGTGATCAATGCAAAACATGGGATTAAAGACAATTGGAGCACCAAAATTGTCGGTGCATCCCATGGAGTAGGGCCCTAGAAGTATATTAGCAAACTAGGGAATGAATTTTTTTAGAATATTCAATTCAAGCCGGGCAGTGGAAGTCATATTAAGTTTTGGAAGGATAAATGGCTAAACAACACTACTCTTATGGAGGACTATCCTAACTTATTCAACATTGCCTTGGACAATAATTCTTCAATTGCTCATAACCGGGCAAATGATAATTGGGATGTGCATCTCAGGAGAGCTGTTCAAGACTGGGAGATAAAAGACTTGAGGGAAATGCTAGATGATTTGAGTCCTACAACATTAATGAGAATGTTCCAGACAGTATGAGATGGGATTGTAAAGGTCTTTATACTGTTAAAGATTGCTACATGCAACTTAACAATCAGAATCAGGTATTGCATCCATGGCCTTGGAAACTGATATGGATGACAAAATCACCTGTGAAGGTGATATGCTTCAACTGGATTGCCCTTCACGAAGCTTGCTTAACATAAGATAACCTATGCAGAAGGGGATTTCAGTTGGTCAACAGATGTTACCTTTGCATGAGATACCAGAAAACAATTAATCACCTACTTCTACACTACCCAGTAGCCATAGACCTATGGAACATGTTCTTTTGTATTTTTGGCTTAAGTTGGGTCAATGCACAGAGCCTGAGAGAGGAACATATGAGCTGGAGTGTTTGGGAGGTTGATAAGGTCATCAAGAAGATCTGGCTTATGATCCCTGCAACTATTCTTTGGTGTTTATGGAACAAGATGAATAGAATATACATTGATGGCACCTCAACCCCAAACCACTTACTCAAATCTAAATGCCTGCTCAATCTTTTTTGCGGACAAAGTTGTCCCCCATAAATAGTACATGATACCTGTTGGACTTTATTAGCTCTATTGTCCTAAATTGAGACTTTGTTATTGTTTCCTCTCTTTTGGTCTACTTGATATCTTTTTTGCTTTCTATCTTTTCAACTTCAATTTTTATTGCACCAACTTTTACAATTTCGTGTAACTCCTATACAATTAAACGTCTTCCAACATGATGCCCTCCATTTATTATATTAAGTTTGAAAAGAAAGATAGAAATATTATCCACACTCTTGACTATTTATCATATAATTTATTATTATTAAAGAAAAGATGATATAGCTTTTTGAGAGATTATTTCTATATATTTTGTATTATCGCAACTTGCAACTAACCAAATCTCATGTAGCTTCAAAGAATGTAACATTATTATTAATGCTTATTATATTTGATATCAAACACCTCATGTTTTGGAATATATGTAGAAAGTCATATGTAAATAAATTATTATCGCATTTATGGAAATATCATAATGAACTTTTTTAATCTTAAATAATTTTAAACTCCTAAATATTAGGTCTTAATATGTAGTTCAATAGAATTGAATTCTTTTGCTAATCAGTTAATTCGTGCTTTTGATATAATATGGATATAGATTAGAATATATTTAGAATTGACCAACAAGACGATGATACGTGTCTCTCCATTTAAATGAGGGGTATATTTGAACCCAAAGTATGATTGCAGGGGTATAGATAACCCAATAGTATAACGAGGGGTATTCTTAGATCATTTTAGAAGGTAGAAGGGTAATTTTGACCCTTTGCCGTTTATGTTATAACAAAGTTTAATGACACTCCCTTTTCCCCCCACAGGTTTCAGTTTGTGACACTTAAAACCTTCTTAACTATTAGCCTTCAGCCATTCTAAGGTTTTTCACTCTCTCTAAATCTCGGAACCCACTCGAACAACATTACAACAATGGAGAAAAGGGAGGAGGCGAAAGAGGTGGTGGAAGACGAGGAGTAAGTAGTGAACCCATGGGAAGTATCAACAAAAGACGGCGGCAAGATTGACTACGACAAATTAATCGATAAATTTGGTTTCTAGAGGCTCGTCGACTCCTTAATCCAGCGTGTTCAACGCCTCACGAATCGACAGACTCACGTTTTCCTCCGCCGCGGAGTTTTCTTCGCTCATCGTGATTTCAACGATATATTGGATGCTTATGAAAAAAGGCAAAAGTTCTATTTATACACATGCAGAGGACCTTATTCTGAAGCCTTGCATTTGGGTCACCTTATCCCCTTCATGTTCACCAAGTAATTAAATTAAACGGGAGGACGTGTTAGCAGTTTTTTTTAGAAAGAAGTTTTTTTCTTTTTTGTGTGAATTTATTTTGTTTTTGTTGTGTTTAGATATTTGCAGGATGCATTTAAAGTGCCGCTAGTAATACAATTGACAGATGATGAGAAATGTATGTGGAAAAATTTGTCAGTGGAAGAAAGCCAAAGACTTGCTCGTGAGAATGCTAAAGATATTATAGCTTGTGGATTTGATGCTTCCAAGACTTTCATTTTCTTTGATTTCGATTATGTTGGTGGGTAAGTAACTTTTGTTTTTTTCCCGATTGTGTTTGGTACTCATACAAAAATTGTTTATCTTGAGAATCCTTTTTTGATATTTCTAAGTGTTTATTAGGCAAGCAAGGATATATATGGTAATCATACAAGGAGTTGTATACAGTATAAAGATACTGGTTTGGTGATTTTTTGAGTTAAAAAAGTTGAAAATAATGTCCAACAGATGATTGAAGCAACTGATAAAGCATGACATGAGAGTTGGGATATTTTTTTTATGGAAAGTGTCCTCAATGTAACAATATTTTTTCTTTAGGGGGGCAGGGAGAGGAGGTGAATATGTTAGTTGGTTATCATGTTTACATTTGTTGCTATGAAAGTGATTAGACTGAAAGTTGCCTTTTAGAATGATAATTTTAGCTTTGCATGGTATGTCATAAGTAGAATTTAATCTTGACTTACTCTAACCCTTTTTTAGATATTGTTATAATACCAAAGTTAGTGAAGTATATGTGAGAGCCTTAAGAAGTTGGAATAGTATACCTTAAAATCCC